CCCCCCCCCCCGCCGTATACTCCCTCCTGACTGAACATTATATATTTCTTATGTTTGTGCATGCATGCATGATGCAACTCGATTAATTTGTTGTTGTCTTGCGTGTCCGTGTCATCTAGCTCGTTGGCTTGCATGGATCCAAGACATGAGTTATACAGAGCTAGAAATTAATTAAACTTGAGGTGTGTTCGACCTTTTAAGGGTCTTAGCAATCAGGGCAGATCCAATTTAGTAGGTGTGGGTTCCTGTGAACCCAATAGCTTTTGCACATACGCTCTATAGATATTAAAAAATTACTAAATAATTAACCATAAATATCTGATTATGAACTCAATTACTTATTGTATACTTATTTAAGGTCACCGTAGGAATCCAAAAACTTCAAATCCTGAATCCGCATCCGTTAGTAATATTGCATGTGCATGGTCCATATGAAATAAGTATTTGTTGAACTTTTAGTGGAAATGACCTGTGAAAATATTAGGTTCGGATGAACCTGCTACCCGAGAGCTTTATTTGGATGTTGAACATGAAATAGGGGTGGAGCTAGAGGCGGATCCAGGATTTTAAGTTTATGGGTTCCTGTCGCAATTTCAAATTAATATACAATAATAACTGGGTTCACAAATAGATATTTAATAAATTTTTTAACAAAAATACAGGGTCTACGCAAAAGTTACTGGGTTCCCGGGAACCCGTATACTACACGCTAGATCCGCCCCTGGGTGGAGCTATATGTATTTAAGACCCTTCGTCCAAAAATTATACTATTTAAATATGAAAAAAATAATTATATATTGGTCCCTTGATATAATGAAGTTTCTAGTTTAGTTAAAAATTACTTTAGATTTTAAGTTTGAATTTCCGGTGTAATTAGCATTCTTGCAATTTTTGAAATCTCTTTATGTTAAGAATCCCCGGACTCCACCCTTTGCATGGAATATAATCCCCGGGCAAGAGAGCTACTGTCGGCTCTTGTAGCCTGTGGCAACCAGTTGATGAGGTGTTTCTGCCAATGACAATGATAGAAGATTGAACAGTTTGAACTTATCTGCAATATTTTTTGGCTAATAAGTTCATTCTAAAGTACTACAGTATCTGATCAATCTATCTGCTGTTTCTAGTCTTACAATAGGTGAATTGTAATCTTAATATATGTGCTTTGCGTTGTTGCATGTGTCTTCATTAATTTCACCAATTAGTGTACCTAGTAGGCTAACACATTAATTTCCCTCATAACTCTTTCTATTTTGAGAAGACAGATAAAACTAATCGATCTTTTGTTGTTATTGTTATTGCAGTCTGGCTGCTGTGTGCTGTTGCTGCCTCTTAGATGCGTGCTTTTGATAACCTACGGAGTTGTGAATCAAAATGACATGCACTACTAGTAATGGTCCTCTGTGGATCACAGGATCTAGCCTTTTCCTTTTTGTGCCTTGTTCTTTATAAACATTTTAGACCTCCATTTAATTACTATAAGAATATACATGACTTTCATGAGCCTTAAAAATTCAATGTATTCAAGTGTGTCTATTCACCAAATTGTAGGTTTTCAATTATTTTAAGAGATCCTATTGTCATTGTGGTCAATAGAGCTAGCGTGATAGGATATATATATNTGATGAGAAGGTGAAGCATAGAAAATGTGGAAATGTTCCTCTATTGATTTTCTTGATCATGCTGAGCTAATCATACAGCGAATTCCTCACATCATATGGTTATACGTAAAATATAAGTAACGCTCATTTGTTCATGCATGGGTGATACATAATCATTTGCTCGCTTTCTGGGCAAAAGTTAACTTTGGTAAAGTAAAATCGTGTATTTTGTTTTTTCTTATGAACAGATGTTAGAATCTCTGGTAATGAATTTCAATTATAGAATCTCTAGTAATGAATTTCAATTTCATTGTTGAGTGGTTGGAACTTGGAACTCAAAATTTCTAACTATGGCTACACTCTTGAAATCTACTCTGTTCTTGCTGTCATCTCTAGACATTATGCAAATCTATGGCCTTCCAAAATCCACTGTTAGCAATATTGTTAGAATACAAGGAACTTTGTGTGGCTAGTGTTAGTAAAAATGTTGGATGATTACGGAGAATAAAAGTTTAGTTTGAGGCGTGTCAAGGATATTATCCTTAAGGATATTTCGCATACACCATGATAAATAAAATTAGGCGTATCCCCCAGGATTCAACAAGCTCTTCTAATATAAACTAGGAACAGAAACAACAAAGATTAACAAAATAAAACCCAGCACTGAAAAATATAATATATAGCAGAAGTTTTTACTCTTAATTTTCCATCTCTCAAAGCAAAAAAGGACTTGGAATTTATAGATAAGAAAACACCATCTCATCAGATGGCTAGCTTAAAGCAATAAATCTCCAACGTATATAACTGTATTGGGAAAATTGAGTTTACATATTGAAGTGATTGGGAGATGACGTGTCATGACACGGAGGCTTGTCAAAGAGTGATGATTGGCAAAGAGACACGAGTTGCAATAGATACGAGCAGAGGTACAAGTAGAGGCATGAACAGTTATTCAAAAGACTCAGCGCTCGTACCTATTTATACCCAAAAAACAAGGAGAATGAATTTGACAGCACAAGAGAGTACAGATACAATATTTAATAAGCATTAAATATAAAAAACGTTAGAGAATCTGTATTAAATTGCAATGATTATGTAACGTAGCATTTAATGCCTTTAATTGTCTATAATGGCATTATTATGACAAAGGCAAAATGTATATCTTTGAGATAGCTATAAAAAGGAGAGAATGGATCATTTGTAAGGACACAAAATATCATCTGAATATACTGATTTACTTTGTTTTCTTCTGTCTATCTTATTGTTAGCAAAATCACTTTCCTTTATTCAATTTTGTTTATCAGTAACACGTGTTTTTCTAAATTAAAGCTTTGACCGAAATTCCACTTTTTGGTTAAACAAATTGGTTCCGTTACTGGGAATGTGATAATCTATTCTTTCCTAGCCTAACCTTTTTTGTTGCATCAACCATGTCAAACATTAATGATAACACACAAGGAAACCAAGGAAACCATCAACTCCAGGGGAATCCACAAGATGATCACACCCCGATCCCTTCTCCCCAAAGCTCCCCTCGGCGGTCTCGAGAAGGCACTCCTGATGGATCTCATGCAAATGGAAACGCTCAACTTAAAAATGATGAAGCTATCAATGAAGCTTTGCAAAAGCTAACCGCTCAACAGGTCAATAAAGCTCTTGAGGCCTTTGTCAGCCAGTTACCTGTTACACCACCCATTCCAAATAACAACACTTTGGAGAACCCTCGTTCTGGGCTTGCTAATTCAGGCAGTGGTGGAATCCCCAGCGAGTCACGAGAAGGAGAACCAGGTAACTTAGTCAATTCTGATTTACAAAATTTAGTACTAACATTGTAGAAACAGCTCAAGGAGCAAAGTGACCGTATAGAGCAAATACCTGGAGTACCGTCAATAATCAAAGGGATAGATATGGATAAATATTCACAACAACCTTGGAAGCCAAGTGCTGCTCCTCTATCAATTCCAAAGAAATTCAAAATGCCCGATATTCCAAAATATGATGGAACAACTTATCCACGAGACCATGTGACAGTATTCACAACAGGCGTAAAAGGCAACGATTTGACCAAACAAGAAATTAAATCAGCATTGGTCAAAAAATTCGGTGAAAAGCTCACTAAGGGAGCATTAACATGGTATTCTCTTTTACCTAAAAATTCTATAAATTCTTTTGTTGAGCTTACAGATTCATTTATCAAAACACATTTGGGAGCTCAAAGAGTCAAAAAAAGAATGGAAGATATTTTCAAAATCAAGCAAGGGGATTCAGAGTTGCTTAGAGAGTTCGTGGATAGGTTCCAGCGTGAAAGGATGACGTTACCACGTGTACCTAACAATTGGGCAGCTATAGCCTTCACTAGTAATTTGAATGAAAAAAGTTCAGAAGCCATGAGGCGACTCAAGGAAAGTCTTCGTGAATTCCTTGCCACAACGTGGAATGACGTTTACAACAGGTATAGCATGAAGCTAAGGATAGAAGAGGATATTATTTCATGATCTCAAAAAGAAGAAAAGGTAAGTTCTAGATGGGCGAAAACCGAAAAAAGGTCCGGTAAAAATAGGTACAAACCATATATGGGCCCAGCGGGGAAAGATTCACGGTCAAAACACGACAATCTCAGGTATGATCATAGGTTGAGGAATAGAGAGTCGGGCTTGTTATCAAGATTTGGGAATGATCGAAATAGGCGAGAGTCACGGGATGATGATAGAAACTTGAAGTCAACATTTGGCGGTTATAATTTTAATGTAAGAACTTCCGAGCTCATAGCTGTTTTAAGAAGCATGGGTGATAAGGTGAGGTGGCCAAAAGAAATGAGATTGAATCCAAACAGGCGCAATCCTGATCACTGGGGCGAATTTCACAACGATCACGAGCATAAAACGACAGACTGTAGGTTGCTACAAGGGGAAGTTGATCATCTATTAAAGCAAGAGTATCTCACCGAATTATTCAGTGAGAGAGGTAAGCAAGCATACATGAAGAATAGGCAGGAACCCCCTAAACCACCTTCTCCTAAAAGGACCGTTAATAATATAAGCGGAGGTGAAGACATCAATGGTGTGATGTACACAACAGCCAATAAAGTTTCCAAAGTCACAATTACCCACGAGAAGCGGGTGCGACATGTCTTAGAGGAAGAAAGTATTACATTTGATGATGCAGATGCGGATGGCGTATTATCTCCACATAACGATGCATTGGTAATATCTCTACTTGTACATGATACTAATGTGAAACGAGTTTTTATTGATCCAGGTAGTTCCGTGAACATTATTTTGCTAAGAGTACTACGCGAGATGCTACCTGAAGATAAATTAATACCAAAGGTGCATACTTTGTCTGGATTTGACAATTCCAGTGTCGTGACGAAAGAGGAGGTAATACTTACTACATTCGTAGAAGGAGTTGTCAAAGATACAAAGTTTTAGGTGGTAGATATGGAGATGGCTTACAATATGATTCGCGGAAGAACATGGATCAACGAGATGGATATCGTTCCGTCGACCTTGCACTAAGTAATTAAATTTCCATCACCATGGGGGATATGTCAAATCTATGGGGATCAACAGAAATCCAAGAATATCAACTCTGTAGCAGATTCAAGTATGAGAAACGAAGAAAAATAGCAGTTACAGAATCCAGTTGAGGGTACCACAACACAAACCTCAACTGAACAAGGGCGAACAGATGTGGACTCAAGGCCTGATGCCATTCAAGAACCAGAGGAAAATGAAAATATCAAAACAACAATTGAAGAACTAGAGGCTGTACTATTATCCACACAATGACCTGAAAGGAAAGTCTACGTAGGGGCCAATCTAAGCCAGGACATGAAAGGTAAGTTGATTGAATTTTTGAAAACTAACATGGATTGTTTTGCTTGTTCCCATTCTGTTGACAGGAATACCACCGTAAGTAATGACTCACAAATTAAATGAAGACACATCATATCCGCCTGTCAAACAAAAGAAGAGGAAGCAAAGAACTTTCAAAAATCAGGTGATTCAAGATAAGGTCCAAAAATTACTAAAAATTGGGTCTATCCGCGAGGTAAAGTATCCTAACTGATTAGCCAATACTGTTGTGGTACCAAAAAAGAATGGTAAATTGCGTGTTTGTGCAGATTACACAGACTTTAACAAAGCTTGTCCTAAAGATTTTTTTATTACCACATACAAATCAACTAATTGATGTTACTGCAGGGCATGAGTTGTTAAGCTTTTTAGATGCTTATTCAGCATACAACCAGATCAAAATGGATCCTATAGATGAAGAAAAGACTTCATTTATAACAGACAGGGGGACTTACTGTTATAAAGTAATGCCCTTTGGTCTTAAAAATGCTGGTGCAACATATCAAAGACTAGTGACAAAAATATTTCAAGAAAATTTGGGAAAACTATGGAGGTCTATATAGACGATATGCTCGTTAAAACACAACATTCAGGGGATCATATATCACACTTGTCTGATACGTTTTAGATCTTGCGAAAATTCAGTATGAAATTAAATCCTGAGAAATGTGCATTCGATGTTACATCGGGTAAGTTTTTGGGCTTTCTTGTTTCTAACCGTGGTATTGAAGTGAATCCCGCACAGATTAAGGCCATTGAAGAAATCTCTAACATGCTTACAAGTAAAAAAGAAGTGCAGAGGTTGACAGGAAGAATTGCAGCCTTGGAGAGATTTATTTCTAAATCATCAGAAAAGTGCTTTAAATTCTTTTCAGCTCTTAAAAAACAAGATCAGTTTGAATGGACTGAGGAATGTCAACAAGCACTCAAAAATTTGAAGACATATTTGTCAAATTCGTCGTTACTCGCAAAACCGAATGTTGGGGAAAGATTGCTCATCTACCTTGCTGTCTTCGAAGTAGCGGTAAGTGTTGTGTTAGTTCGTGAAGATCAAGGTAAACAATCTTCGATTTATTATGTCAGCAAAACTTTATTAGATATGGAGACGCGGT